CTTTTGATGTTGAGGAATACTCAGGATCTAACCATGATTTGATTTTGATTTTCATATAGGGTCCATATTTTCATATAGGGTCCATATTTTATTTCCTGACTCTATCTCTTCCGGCTTATGGCCGAATAACGTTGAAACATCAGTTCCTGTGTGACAGAGAGAGAGAGAGAGAGGGAGAGAGAGAGAGAGTCTGGGAAGCACACATACGTATATGTTTTTAGTGAAATTGGAGTAGGTTTGAATAGTGAAATTAAATCAGAGCATTTTGTTTACTGATGGGGAAATCTGATCTAGGGCAGAAGATGTACCCATTGGTCATCAGCAGACAATGGTCGAAATAATTTTCATCGATTAAACATTGAAAATAGAGCTGAGTAAGCTAAAAGGAACTTTGGAATTCACATGATTTTGGTTGAAGCAGCCAGAACCCCGTGATAATCGCGTGCGAAGTAGTAAGGCCGAGGGTCAATTACAACCAGTCGGGTTTATCTATATAAATGCGTGGTTATGCAAAAAAAGACAGACGGGAGAGAATTCTTGAAGAGAGATTGGCCCGGGCAAACATTGGGAGGTGGATCGCCATTATAACTTTATGTTCCGCACAGAAATCTTTATCCCTCCATCGCAAGAGTCATAAATCGTTCTGAGACGATTTAACAACAAGATAATCACATACACTCTATCTGTGTCTAGAATCCAGTGTATGAGTTTTTTTTTGTTTTTTTTTACTTTTCTTTTCTGTAACACTTTTCTCTTCTCTATTATTCTTTTCTGTTATATAAAAGACATTACCGATTCAACCATTGAATCGATGTTTGTCCGGTTTTCTGCAGATATTACTTTTTTTTTTTTGCATTCTAAATTTCTTAGCGCAGACTCCACAGCCGTGTCTACATCTTCAGTCGACTGTGAATGGACGGACATCACTTCTGCTTTCTGGATCAAACAAATCACAACGTGGACAGGAAGCAGGATTAAACGAGCGGACCGGTAGAATAATCTACGGATGCTCAGGGGATCTATGGCCACTCCTTTAATTTCGGTTAGGACTGAGTAGACACCTCAACACAGAGTGTAAGTTTCGGAGGTTGAGGGGCCGGGACGAAAGTGTTAGACCTGTATCATCACGGAAGTTAAGCAACATCGAACCTAGATGGGTGAATTCTGGGAAATACTAAGTTCTCTAAGCTTGGGTGTGTACTTGTTTTTATTCGGAGACCCGAGTTTTAATTCCAGTTGGGTTCGTTATATTCACTTACGAACTAATGTACATTATATACATTATTCAGACTATTGTCCTCATTTTTGTTGCCATATTTATTACAACGTTTCGGCCGTTCAGTATCTGTCTATATTTCTGAGATGAGGTATTATGTATACTATTTACATTATTCGGACTATTGTCCTCATCTTTGTTGCCATATTTATTACAACGTTTCGGCCGTTCAGTATCTGTCTATATTTCTGAGATGAGGTATTATGCACGCTATTTACATTATTCGGACTATTGTCCTCATCTTTGTTGCCATATTTATTACAACGTTTCGGCCGTTCAGTATCTGTCTATATTTCTGAGATGAGGTATTATGTACGCTATTTACATTATTCGGACTATTGTCCTCATCTTTGTCGCCATATTTATTACAATGTTTCGGCCCGTCAGTATCTGTCTATATTTCTGAGATGAAGTATTATGTACACTATTTACATTATTCGGATTATTGTCCTCATCTTTGTCGCCATATTTATTACAAGGATTCGGCCGTTGTACGCTCCAGTCTTCTTCAGGTGATTGGAATGTCGAACTGAACCCTTTATTTCGCTCACTGGGGTAGACTGTTCTAGTTCCACGTGCCATGTTTTAATGAATGACAGTTATCAGTTATCTCCTGTTAATTCCCCTCTCCAAGTTCTCCACTGCCTTAACCGGGTATTGAACTCACAACTAACGCCATTATCCATTGTGCAATGTGTCCTATCTGTGTATAAATTTCTGGGTATTATAAACCTAATGTCATCATCAACATTTTTTTACCAGTGCTCATATTGAAATTTTTGCTGTTATCATTGCATATTTTTTACGGAAGCGTTGTAATAAATATGTCGACAAAGATGAGGACAATAGTCCAAATAATGTAAATAGTCTACATAATACCACGTCTCAGAAATATAGACAGATACGAGCAAATATGTTTGGGAAAGGCAAGAATCCCTCTCTTTTTCCCCCACCTATGGGATAATTAATAAGATTTTTATCACTAAAACATTATTTTCTCAAAAAAAAAAAAAATAAATAAAAATAAAAAAAATTCTTAAGACGCAGAAAAATACTTTCTGGCTTTAAATAACCAGCAAATGGTCGATAAACCGTAGAAAATGAATTCATCTATCGCTTTCGAAACTGATTTTTCTATGTCGAGAAGGAAAAGAAAAACAATTGTTTAGATACAGAATATTGTTTGCTTCACCAAGTTCACGTGGAACCCATTTTCTTTGTTTCTGAGTTTCCCGGAAGAATTTTAAATGGCGTGCTAAAATTAACATCTTCATTTTTAATTGTTCGCTTTAACATTAAGAGCTTCTCCAGCCTCCCAGCAATTTGAAACATATAATTCTTTCTTTTTTTTTTTTTTTAAATCATTCCAAACAAAGAAAAGCGCTTTCTCCAGCAGATTCTCTTTAGGATTTTTCTACGGAAGGCTGTTCTGGAAATAATGTTATGTTAATTATTCTGATAGTCTAAGCTCTTTTTGTAACTCAAAATTTAAGCGTACTACTAAATTGGCGACAAGGTATTCATTAGAGTTGAAATGTCAAAATATAACCGGAAGTTCTACGTTAAAGGTTTTTTTCTTTTGCACTTTTCGCTTGTGAAACTCTCTTCCGTCTTCTTGCTTTCCCGTCAACTTTGATCTTCAAAAATTTTAAATGCCATGTAAAACTTTATCTTCTGTCTTCTTGATTCTTGTTCTTTTATTGTTTCCTCTCCATAATAGTTTTTTTTTACCTTATCTTATATTCTTTAAGACTCGGTAAACAACTTGAGTCTTAGCGACGTTATTTCCTTTCTTGAGGTGAAATGACCAAAACAAAATTCATAAAACCATTTTCTCCTCCCACTAATTTTATCCTGTCCTGGACATGACGATAAACTACATCCGTGTCCTGGGTAAGACGATAAACTACACCCGGAAGCAAGGCGTCTGATTAGGGGGTTTTGAGGTATGTGGAACCACCTCTTAATTGCTGATGTTCTCAGTTCCAACCTGGTAGCATCTGTTAGGGTCACAGCTATGGGCAAATCATTAATCCATAAACTAGGGTCAAAATGTGTCAAAATAGGTTTTAATACCGGCAATACATTTTTGTAAAAAAATATTAGCAGGAATAAATTTTTGAGGGAAAAATTATTACCAGCAACACTTTTTTGGAAAAAAATATTATCAATAATAAAAATATCCCATTGAGGGCATTAAAAACAAACCCCCAATATATTCTGAGGATGATAGATAAAATATTACCAGCAATGAAAACCTTTTCGACATTAAATAAAATATACAAAAAACCAAACCAATATATTCTGAGATAAATAGATAGATAGATAAAAATATTACCAGCAATGAAAACCTTTTCGACATTAAATACCCCATTGAGGTTGATATACCTTAAAACAAACCGAACCAATATATTCTGAGATAGATAGATAGATAGATAGATAGATAGATAGATAAAAACATTACCAGCAATGAAAATGACAAAATCTTGAGGTCGATATACATTAAAACAAACCGAACCAATATATTCAGATAGATGATATAGATAGATAGATAGATAGATGATATACCCAGCAAATGAAAATCTTGTCGACATTAAATACCCCATTGAGGTTGATATACCTTAAAAACAAACCGAACCAATATATTCTGAGATAGATAGATAAAAACATTACCAGCAATGAAAATCTTGTCGACATTAAATACCCCATTGAGGTTGATATACCTTAAAACAAACCGAACCAATATATTCTGAGATAGATAGATAGATAGATAGATAGATAGATAGATAGATAGATAAAAACATTACCAGCAATGAAAATCTTGTCGACATTAAATACCCCATTGAGGTTGATATACCTTAAAACAAACCGAACCAATATATTCTGAGATAGATAGATAGATAGATAGATAGATAGATAGATAGATAAAAACATTACCAGCAATAAAATCTTGTCGACATTAAATACCCCACTGAGGCTGATATGCCGTAAAACAAACCAAACCAAACCAATATATTCTGAGATAAGTAGATAGATAGATAATAAAATCTTGTCGATTGAGGCTGATTAAAATAGATTGTTAAACAATAAAAAAAAATCTTGTCAACTTTAAATACCCCATTGAGGTTGACATCCCGTAAACTAAACCAAACCAAACTGTTTTACCCAAACATACGTACTTAAATACTGACTTTTGTCGTTCTTTCTTAATGATTCTAAATTTAATAGATTTCACTAACAATAAACAGCTGAATAACCTTTTAAACACTTAAAAGATTTTGCTAACATTGTTTGAAGAGCATACTGTAGATTTATGCATCGTATAACTTATTAAGAAATAATTTCGAGTTGAATTAGCATCAGCTGTCTTAAGAAAATAATAAACTGATATCCAAATTGAAAAAAAAAAAACATATATATACACGATAAAACCTGTCTTGGGTTTTGATGGATTGGTTTTTTAGGGTTTATCAATTTTTTCCATGCTATTTAAAGGCAGAAGTATTTTTTACCCATTTATTTTCATATTGTCAGAATTCTTGTTGATTTACTGTCACATGTCATACTAATTAATCCATAGATAGAGGAAGAAAAGGTGGATTCATACCTTACTCGGGGGTATTTGCGTGCAAGCGAATATAATAAACACATCTGGAACTGAGACTAGGGTCTACAACTATCAGTTCCAAGCCGTTATTCATTACATTACCCGCATATTGAAAGTTACAGCGCCTGATATTCCCAAGTGGTCACTCATCTAAATACTGACCAGGCTCGATGTTGCTTAACTTCAGTAATCGTACGGGAACCAGCGTTTCAAAATGATATGGCCGTAA